TGTGGAGAACAAACAGAGGGTTACTGGAAGCTTTGTGGGAGGGGGGGATGGGCTAAATGGGTAAGGGGCATTAAGGAATCTACTCCTGAAATCATTGTTGCACTATATGCTAATTTGGATGTAAATTTAAAAAAAAGTAATAAAAAAAATAAGAACAACAGTTGGGGCACGTGGATGGCTCAGTAGTTTAAACGTCTGCCTCTTGATTTCAGCTCAGGTCATGATCTCACAGTCGTGAGATGGAGCCTCTGCTCAGCACAGAGCCTGGTTAGGATTCTCTCTCTCTCTGCCCAGTGCCACTTCCCCTTAAAATATATAAATATTAACAATCAAATAAGAAAAAAAATTTTTAGAGACATTTCATATCTATATTTCTAGGCTTTTTACTGGATATTTTCTTTTGGTTTTCCTACCAGCTGTTTAAATTGGACATTCCTATAACTAAAATCAACATTTTGCTTTTTTTCTGTTTTCTTTTTCCCTCACCTCCCTTCTCCTATTAATCATTCTTCCAAATCAATATTAAACCCCTGATCTTGGGGAGCCAGAGTGGCTCAGTCATTTAAGTGTCTGAGTTCAGCTCTGGCCATAAACTCACGGTTCGTGAGTTTTGCCCCACATCAGGCTCTGTGCTGGATGGCTCGGAGCCTGGAGCCTGCTTCAGATTCTGTGTCTCCTTTCTCTGTTCCTCTCCTGCTTGCACTCTGAGTCTCTCTCTCTCTCAAAAATAAAGATTTAAAAAATATTTAACAAAACCTGATCTCTTTGACTCTTTTTTATATTTTCATAAGCAGAGTCTTATATTTTTGTACATCTTGTCCAAACTCTATATTTCATTTCTAAAAAAAAATATTTTTAATGATTAGTAATGCAATCCTAGTCAAAACCCCAATATGGATATTTTTGGAACTTAAGAAGTTTACTCTAAGGTTCATCTGAAAAAGTCCCTAAATATAGCCAACGTTTAGAAAGAAAAAAGCAGTGAGAAGGAATTTCTATATTTGTTTTTATTTATCAAATACATGTGGTTCTTATTAGATGTCAGGCACTATTCTTTTTGTTTTAGAGAAAGAGGGAGAGGGAGGGT